ATACTTTTAAACGATTAAGTATTTTCTAGGCCAGGCGTGGTGGTTCACACCTGAATTCCATCACTTTGGGAGGTGGAAGTGAGAGGATTGCCTGAGCCTAGAGGTCTGAGACCAGTCTGGGCAACTTGACAATACCTTGTCTCTACAAAAAATCAAAAAATTTAGCTGGGTATGGTGGTACATGCCTGTAGTCCCAGATACTTGGGAGGCTGAGGCAGAGGACTGTTTGAGCCCAGCAGGTGAGGCTGCGGTGGCTGTAAGTGTGCCACTGCACTCCAGCCTGGGTGACAGAGACTCCAACTCAAAAAAAAAAAAAAAAAGTATTTTTCTAGACAGGTTTTGAAGTAGTAATCATACCCTAATTACAATACCTTCTCCTCCTATAGGGGACAGTTAAACATGTTCCCTTTTAATGGGAAAAACAAATTTGAAACATCAAGAATTGTCCAATAAGAAGTAATTTTTGCTTCTGTCTTTTATGCATTTTTGTTTTTTCTCAGTGCTCTAGATGATCAAATATACATGCAGAACCTTTATAAGTAGAAATAAAAATAATGTTTTTTTAAGATTAGAAAATATAGTTTATTTAGGAAGTAATGGGAAACTGCTAGGGAAGGGGAGGGTGGGATTGGCAGTTGAGGGAAACTGCCAGGGAATAGAGGGACACACCTCATCAAAAAGGGTACCTGCATAATGAACATTTGTATACCTAACCCTGAATTATACCCCACATCTTTAAAATAAAATTAAATTAAAAATAAAAAAGAAAGTAAATTGGAGAGAGAGAGAAAGAGGGGATTCACCTCCCCAATGGAGGGGAGTGGGGGCCAAAGCTTAAGAAAACATGGCATGGGCCGGGCTTGGTGGCTCAGCCTGTAATCCCGCGCTTTGGAAGGCCAAGGCAAGTGGACTGCCTGAGCCCACGGGTTAGAAACCAGTCCGGGCAACTTGGCAAGACCTCGTCTCTACAATAAAATAAATAGTCGGGTGTGGCAGCGCGCGTCTGTAGTTCCGGTTACTTGGAAGGCTGAGGCGGAAGGATAGCTGGAGACCATAAGGTCGACACTGGGGTGGCCGTGAGCGTGCGTGCCACTGCACCCCAGCCTGGGTGAAGTAGTGAGACTCCAACTCAAAAAAACAAAGAAAAAGAAAACATGGCATGGTCATAGCTCAGAGAGCACATAGCCACATGATAGCTTAGCAAGGCAATGGCTGCAATGGCCTGGCAAAGGCCCAATAGTAAATGTTATTTGTAAAACTTACCAATATGCAGTTTCAGTATTTCTGATTTATGGACTATAAGAGGGAGAAGTTGGGTATAAAAGGCTGGTAAATTCAGTTGTAATTTAAAAATAAGGTCCATTTGTATAAACTTGAAACAAAGTATATCACAATTTTTTTTACTTGGAAAATAAAGATGCCCAATCTTAATAAGTATTCATTCATAATAAATTGTGATTTCTTTTAGCAAAGAAGGCATTATATTGGAAATTCCTTAGATTAAAATAGGTTTTCTGCTTTCTTTGCCATTTCTCCAGAGTGTCTTAACACACCTGCAGCTCATTTCTTAACATAAGATATAGGTTAGCCCATTTAAGTTTAGGATTTTTTTGTTTGTTATGTTGGGTTTTTTTTGTTTGTTTTGTTTTCTGTTTTGAGACAAGGCCTTGCTCTGCCACCCAGGCTAGAGTAGAAAGGCACAAACATAGCTCACTGCAACCTTAAACTTCTGGGCTCAAGCAATTCTCATACCTCAGCCTCCTGAGTTGCTGGGACTACAGGTACGCTCCACCATGTCCCCCTAATATTTTACTTTAACGTTAAAAAAAGTGCCAAATTTTAGCCGGGCTTGGTGGCTCAGCCTGTAATCCCACGCCTTTGAGAGGCTGAGGTGAGTGGATTGCTTGAGCCCGCGGGTTCGAGACCCGCCTAGGCAACTTGGCGAGACCTCATCTCTACAATAAATCAAAAATTAGCTGGGCATGGTAGCGCGCGCCTGTAGTTCCAGCTACTTGGAAGGCTGAGGTGGAAGGATCGCCGGAGCCCAGCAGGTCGAGGCTGCGGTGGCCGGGAGCAGCCACTACACTCCAGTCTAGACGACAGAGTAAGACTCCAACTCAAAAAAAAAAAAAAAAAAAGTGTCAAGTTTTGATTCATATATGAGTAAATATATGTTATACAGTACTCTTCAAAAATTAGTAGTAGGGCCAGGTGTGGTGGCTCATGCCTGTAATCCCAGCACTTTGAGAGGCAAAAGTGAGAGGACTGCCTGAGCCAAGGGGTTCAAGACCATTCTGGGCAACTTGGAGAGACCTTGTCTCTACATGAAATCAAAAAATTTAACTGGTGGTGTGGGCCTGCAGTTCCAATTACCTGGAAGGCCAAGGTGGAAAGATCATCTGAACTCAGCAGGTTGAGGCTGCGATGGCTGTGAGTGTGCCACTGCTCTCCAGCCTGGATGACATAGTGAGACTCCAACTTAAAAAAAAAAATTAGTGGTAAGCCATTTTATTATTCTGTTTGTCTTGCTATAAGAGAATACCTGAGACTGGGCAACTTATAAAGAAAAGAGCTTTATTTAGCTCACAGTTCTACAGGCTGAGAAGTTCAAGAGCATGGCCATGGCTGTATCACAACATGGTGGAGAAGGTTAAAGGGGAAGCAGACACAGGTGAAGAAAGGCTTTCTAACAACTCCTTTTCTTGGGAGCAATCCAGTCTCTTGGAGATGGCACCAAGCCATTCATGAAGGATCTTTCCCCGTAACCCAAACACCTCCCACTAGGCCCCACCTCCCAACTGGGGATCAAATTTCAACATGAGTTAGTGGGAACAAACCAACCACATTCAAACCATTGCATCTACTTTCATTTTAGCAACATTTATTACAAATCACATTTTATAAACACTAGACAAATTGCATACAATAGCTGACATAAATATACAGAAGCAAAACAAAAACAGCAGTATTATTAATACAAAAGAAATAAGCTAATATAATAACATGTATAACTTCATAAAATTACTATTTTCTCACTGCTAATAATTTTTCACAATTCAAAAGCTAGTCAGAAATGAAATGTAATACATTCTAATTACTATCAAAGTTTAGAATTTTAGAAACAATTACCATAGCACTACTTATTTTAAAAAATCCTTTCAAACATTCAAAAGCCAAATGAGTGTCCTTAAAGACAATTTAAACTTGGGTAAAAGCTCTTATCTAACTGAAGTTAAATATAAAATTTTAGACTTTGGTTAATAGATACTAAATTCAGTGAAAAAATTTAAGTTAACATCTCCCTTATATGTTATATTCCTGAGTTTTTTGATAAAATACATAAGGAACTCAATTTATAGTTTTGCATAATATTGTATTTTATTTTTTAAAACAAAAGTATTGCAATTATTTCAAATGTGAATAATGGTGTTTAATAATGTAATCATATTAGGATGGAACATATTACTTAATTTAGCTTAACTAAGGGAAAAACGAATGCCCTCTGACCATTTTTTGCAAAGATCATTTGTAAATTATGATCAAAATTATATTAAACCTGTCATCAATTTGTATTTGCACCTTATAAAATCATATTGATTTTGTAGTATAGAATGTCCTTATTAAAAAACTGAAATGATCGATGCTAATGGTTAGCACAAGGCCAGGCACAGGGTGAGTGCTCAATATTATTAATTAATTTAAGGAGAAAAGTCTTTTAATGTATTATTTTTGCACCTCAACATGTGATTCAATGTAGTAGTTATAAATTAACTCAGAAACATCCAAAAACATTTTAAACATGAAAATACATTTTTAGTAGCAATCATACAAGGAATTTTTACAAGTGGCTATTTTCAGTCTTAGTTTTATCAAAATAGAATTCAATTTCAGATTCCTTTTAAAAATAGGCTTATGAAAGCTGATTTCCTAGTAGCTGCTATATGTGATGTGGATGGCAGGTTTAGTATTTTCTCACAAGATCAACCTATCAACACCTTCTGAACTAATTACTTTAGATTACAGCATACCCCTGAAAAGTTTCCCCTGAAGACTGAATCCATGCATCTGAAAACTGGGTCCAAGAATGTGGATTTTTAAACAAGTAGTTCTCCCCTGTCTCCTGGTAAATTATCATGATCAGGCTCACCTGGGAAATAATGCTTTAAATTAACCAAAATAATTTTATCATACTTGAACATTACTTGTCTGGCATCTCTAATGAAAATCAAATATATCAAACTTTTAAATAATCTGCATAGCTTTTCATCATGTCTAAATATTTCTTACCTAAAAGTTACAAGGTTTTGTTCCAATTATCTTGATGCCCACAAAAGTTGATAAAACAGTTATCACCTTTTAAAAAAATTGCTGGTGATTGGGTCTCCATAGTTTTAGTGTTGCATATACCTTTTATTACCAGGAAGCAGAAGAATCATCTAGCAGTTAAAATCATCTAGCAATTAAAAAACTAAATAATGTGGAATTTATTCAAATAATCATACTACTTATGAAGTAGTCTCTAAATAGCTATACCAGCATCAGTTACTAGAGTTACTTGCAAACTGATGATCAAATATCTATTTCTTTAAAAAATTCAATTACAAAGTAGTACGTCAACTCCATGTACAAAATCACATTTTTCCATATAATGCAACTATTTAATTAAGCAATTATTTAACTGGATATGTATGCATAAAAATGTGCATAGGTTTATTCTAATTGATCAACTAGTAATGAATCCCTCTAAATTAAAAAAGATAAAATAAGCAATGAAATGTCTTCTCAAAAATATCATGGTGCAATGAGGAAAGTTTAATCAGAGACCTGAAAGAACACTTAAATAGGATTAAAATCATGAACTGTTAGCCACTTCTGTTTTCTAATTAGAGTATCATATGCAGAGAAAAGAAAACTGCAAGCTTACTGAAGTGGGTTAAATAGTTTTTAAGCTGATTAAAACTACTTAATTTTAAATGAATTATTTTTGAACTTCAAGTAAATGATGCAGTATTCAAAATTTATTAAAAAATAAACTTTAGCAATTTTAGCATTAGTAAAAACCACTGCTAATCCACAAAAGCATATTATCAAACTCTATATACACAAGTTGGAAAGGGCTTAATACCAAGTCCTTGGTTCCACATTGCACTTCATATTCCCATCTGTATATCAGCAAAGTTGTAGAAGCTGTCTACATCTCCAGATGCTGTCTCCTTTCTTTCTGATACAAACATCTATAATAAATAGAAAATAAGAAATAAATATAATGACTTCAGAATACCAAAGCCCTTGTTCTCCACAAAATAGACACAAGCTTATTATTACAAAGAAATTCAAGCACATGATTTATAGTATTTAATCTGGAGATTTTCTTTAGAATTCATGTGATATAAGTTCAGTATCTATAATGTAAATTAAGTTATTTCAAAAGCACTTATGAAGCCTGATGCAGTGGCTCATGCCTGTAATCCCAGCACGTTGGGAGGCAGAGGCGAGGGGATTGCCTGAGCCCAGGGGTTTGAGACCAGCCTGGGCAACATAGTGAGACCTTGTCTCTACAGTAAATAAAAAAATTAGCCTGGTATGGTGGCACGTGCCTATAGTTCCAGCTACTTGGAAAGCTGAGGCAGAAGGATCACCTGAGCCCAGAAGGTAGAGGCTGCGGTGGCCATGAGCATGCCACTGCACTCCAGCCTGGGTGAGAGTAGATTCTGATTCCAAAAAAACAAAACAAAACAAAAATCACTTATGATATAATAAGGTCTCTGCTCTCATAATACTTTAGTTGTATTTTATTACAATTTTATTGTTTAATGTACAACACTCAATATTATGAAGCTATTGAATAAGTTTACTTAAAGAACTCAGTTTCTTCTATTTTCTAATAATAATCTCAATAGTGTGAGAAGCAAAAGATTATCCTCTTCAAAGCTGCTAAAGATATATTACTATTTTAAAATAAACTATTTTTTAAACATCAATAAAGCAATACTCAACAGAGCCCTTCAAAAGTAGCCAGGTGTGGTGGCTACCACCTGTAATCCCAGCACTTTGGGAGGCCAAAGCAGGAGGATCATTTGAGCCCAGGAGTTTGAGACCAGCCTAGGCAACACAGTGAGACTCCATTTCTACAAAAAACTTTAAAAATTAGCCAGGCTTGGTGGTGCATGCCTGTAGTACCAGCTACTCAGGAGGCTGAGGTGGAAGGATTGTTTGAACCCAGGAGGCTGAGACTGCAGTGAGTTGTGATCGTACTACTGCACTCCAGTCTGGGCAACAGAGCAAGGTCCTGTCTCAAAAAAAGTAGCTTTTACAAATGTCAGCCAGGAATTAGAGGGGAACTGGGTTCTTTTCTAGCTTTACCATAAACTAGCTATATGATGCTGACAATTTAATAAATCTCTGTAGGCTCAGTATCCACACCTATAAAATGAGAAAGTTGGATTAGATAATCTCTAATTCATTCAGCTCTAAAAGTCCAATACATAACCATTTTATCTTTCAGTTTCCTTTTCTATTCAATCTGTATTTGCCTTCTCCCTTGGTACTATTGTGATGAAAAAATAAGACAAAAGACAAAATACTTTAAATTTTGCAAATTCAAGGAATCATAAGCCAAATTAGAGGACAAAACCAAAAATTTCCTTCCAGATATTTATCAAAAATAGTCAATTATATATTTACTCATTTAATCCTCTTTTATATCTTTGGTTGTTAAGTTATTTAAGTCTGAAATTCTTAGATACAGCAACCTCATCAACATATTTAGAAAATGCCCACATGTGATGATATCTAGATATACCTCAAGTTCAATTTTTGGTGAAGCAAATACAAGTGGACCCTGGACAACAGGATCATTCATCTAAAGAACATAATCTTAGAAATAAAATATTTTCAACATATCACATTTTTTAAAATGCAAGGGCTTGACGAGACATTTGATGATAGACTTTTTAAACTCATATACTATTGAAGGTTTTTAATAGGTAGATTCCTAAAACAATCAAAATTTTAGTTTGGCAAGAAAAAGCCAAAGCTTAGCCTCCAATTATTTACCATAGGTTCTAAAAATCATGATCTGATGTTTTTAAATCCCAAGCAACATCAGGGATAAAAAATACGATTTGATTGTAAGGCAAAGGAAATTAAAGGTAAGACTGAAATATAGTCAATAAAATATTGTACCTTGGTCCCATCGAATATCTCATTGACAATAAGTTGACATCCTTCTACAGCACCATCTCCATTAAACTCCAAGGCAATAACAGGACCTACAAACAAACCCAAGAAGTGTTTTCTTAACATGAATACAAATATAATTTCTTAAGTTAATCTTTTTATTTTTCCCTGAAGAATCTCCAGCATCTTCTTTGAGGGCGAGAGAAAAGGAAGAGGAAAGTAGACAGATGGGACACATCATCTCAGCTTCTTCCTACTCTAATCATAAAAACAAATTAACATAGTTTCATCACATGACAAGTAGCTTCAGTGCTATTATAGGACTACTGTCACATTTTAAAGTGTTATAAATAGTCTGGCTTTTCTGGTTTTCATTCTTCTATAAAAACCATAGACATTCCACTCATTTAGCAGTACAAAGAATAGTTGATAAAACAGCAAATAAGATCAAAAGCAATCCAAGTCAACATAAGTAGGTTGTGCCAGGCAGTCAGCCTGGCTTCCAACTCTCCTACTTACCGGCCAAGTTCTGGACCACCAATAATGGAGCTAAGCCAAATAAGAATTGAGGCCAGGCACCAAAAGTCTGACCATCTGAAAGTATTTTCCTTGGGTGTCTTAAAGCTACATCCTATAAACAAAGACCAAGTTTTTGTTTTTTAATCCCATGAATAGAATATTTATGCTTCCTTTCCCATACATTTATTTGAATACTTTAAAAGTCACCTGTACTTTAAATTCTGAGGTAAAGATTCGTGATTAAATCTTTGGTCGGCTTGGATTAAAATGTAGCATTGGCATTACTGGTATCAAATAGTTGACAAGCATGGCCATAAGTTAGCCAAGCAAAATATGTTCTTCAACTCAAGTTAATATTTATTTGCTGTCACTATATTCCTAATAGATTTGCTTTTTATCTCCTACAGTGATGGAAAAGTCTTGATCTCCAGAAAATTACAAATTTATTGAAAAAAAAACATAAACCCATTAAACAAATACGAAACAACATAGAATAATGAACTAAGGTGAATTAATATTAAATACTAAATTGAATGTAGTCATGTGCTACAGAACAAGACACAAGAATGGGAAAGAAAAGACTACACAACACTGAGTACCAAGGTAACTAAAGGCTTGTGATTTAATACAGACAACAAATACAGAAAAGGCAGGATACACAGTCATCCCTTGGTATCTGCTTGGGATTGGTTCTATTGGATGTTCAAGTTCCTTATATAAAATGGGGTAGTATTTGCATATAACCTATGCACATTCTCCTGTATATTTTATTTATTTACTTATTTATTTAAGAGACAGAGTCTCACTTTGTTGCCCAGGCTGGAGTGCAGTGGTGTGATCATACTCACTGCAGCCTCTAACTCCTGGACTCAAGCAATCCTTCTACTTTAGGCTCTTGAGTAGTTGGGATTACCAGCCACCTTGCCCAGCCTCGTGTATACTTTAAATCATCTCTATGTTACTTATACTACCTGATCCAATAGAAACGGTATGTACATAGTTATTATATTGTATTATTTTTATTATTGTGTTATTATTTTTTGTTGTTCTTTCTGAATATTTTTGACCCACAGTTTGTTGGATCTGACAAGTCTTGATCTACACACTGTGATACTGAAAAGCTCACACTCTAATTTATTCTCTATATTTAAGTGTGCAGTTGGCCCTCCATATCCACAAGTTCTGCATCCACAGCCTGTAATCCCAGCACTTGGGAGGCCAAGGTGAGAGGATAGCCTGAGCCTGCGGGTTCGAGAACAGCTTGGGCAACATGTGAGACCTCGTCTCTACAATAAATAAAAAAATTAGCCGGGGGTGGTAGCGTGCACCTGTAGTTCTGGCTACTTGGAAGGCTGAGGCAGAAGGATTGCTGGAGCCCAGCAGGTCGACACTGGGGTGGCCTTGAGTGTGCATGCCACTGCACTCCAGCCTGGGAGATGGAGTGAGACTCCAACTCTAAACAAACAAACACATAATAAAGTAACAGAACATTTTCCTTCTCTTAGCAAGGCTCTGTGGAGGAGGTAGGTAGTAAGAAGTTATCAAATGAAACAAGAGAGGAACAAGTTACAAGGGGGAACAATTCAAAGGGAGGCCTACAGGAAAAGGTTCTTATATTAGAGTGCCTATTCCAACTCACAGATCTGTTTAGAAAGTTTTACTTTGATGTAAGTAATGAAATATAGAGGAAGGAAAACCTAAGAAAAAATGTTGACCTTCGGGGGAGGCAAAGTGGAGGGGATAGGAATTGAAGTACAAGTTTTTTAAATGTACCTTGTTATATAATTTTGATAATACCATGTAAATGCTCAATAAAACCAAAATTAAGTATTGAAAAGAAAAGTAGAAGCAGTCTCTAAAAGTTAAAACCAACAGAAACAAATGATTCTAACTGTATATCAAGTTAGTGACATGACCACACAGTGAAAGTAATTATTCCAACCAACTTACTAGGCAATATTTTGCCTGTATACCCCCTGTGGGATATATATATATATATATATATATATATATATAGTCTAAGGACAAAAAGATAGAAATCTTGAAACTTCATTCAGTAATCTCATTTTTAGTAGTAAAGTTTGTTGTTATTCTGAAACCACTATATGCATATTATAGGATAAGTTACAGCAAGTGAATTGATAATATTAGAAGGAACCAAGATTTTCAGAATAAAAGTATTATAAATACCAAACGAAAAAAACTTAAAACTTAAGTAAAAAGTCTTATATTGACTGAGTTGGTAACTGTTGAAGCTGTGTGATAGGTATGAGGGTTCATTATGCTATTTTGTCTACTTTTTACAGTTTACAATTTTTTATTAAAGAATAAAAGATCTGGTTGTTAAGGTTAGAAAGGTCTTAACAGAGAAGGGCCTCCTGTACATTTTGTAATATAACAGCTAACCTTACAAAAGTAAAGTTTATAATCTTAAATTTCATTTAGAAATATCAGTGTAAACTTATGACTTTTAAAAAATACATTGTTTTTGGCTATATCTACAGAAAAAGCCTAAAAGAAATGACAACCCAGTAACACATAGCACCTAACATGTATGTCTAAATATCAGATTTTTCCACTAAAAAGAACTAGGTCATCTTAGGAAAATGGATGATTCTATGTCTGGACAAGAAATATATTAAGATCAACCTGAAACATTTTGTTGAACCAAAAATCGATGAAGTTATCAAAGGCCAATGGGGCTGTATCAAAAGGACAAAGAAGGCAGTCTGAAGGGCCTCCCAATGGCCAAAGATGAGACATGGTGAGATCAGAAGGAATAATGACTGCAATTTATTAAAACACACTGAATATATAAAAAGTCATGAGTTCACAATATTTAGAAAAAGAGAAAACAAAACTCACTGGATACCAGTGCAGGTTGCTAGGATACCAATTTACTACTCTGAAAACTGATGCTTATTTTTCCCTTTATTCTGCTTTTCTGATATGAAGCATATTTCAAGTTAACCAAACAGCTCTGGCATACAAGACGTTCCGTTAACATCTGTTAATAAATGCAGAGGTAGTGACAAGATTAGAAAATGATCATTTTGCCAAAAAAAGAAAGAAAAAATGATTATTTTGCAACTCCTATTAAAATAACTGGTTCAGGCAACAATCATCAATGGTTTTTAGCATTCCACAGGAAGACTGCAGGAAACACTATAATAAAAAGATAAGGTCATCACCACCTGAACCCACCCATCAATCTTAGTATCACTAAAATCACAACAATCAAACATTAAGTGCCTTCTCTTTTAAAGCAATGGGAAACAGTGCCACTAATGAAGTATTACTGCCAAAAAAAGATAGAACTAAATCTGAATGTAAACAAGGCTTTGCTCTAACTTCTAGTCTACAAAAAATATGGAGGGACAAATTAAACAACCTCAGGAATACCACAGGACAACTGACCAAGCTTCTACTCCAAGACAAAGGCATGAAACAAAAAGTGGAGGGGGAAAATCCTGCTTTTGGTTAAGAGAAATATAAGATACAAAACAACCAAATATAATGAGTGGGCCTACTTTAGATCTGGATAAAATTAACTGTAAAAACAAAGAATTGTTTGAGATAATTAGAGAAATTTGCATATGGACTGGGTATTAGATGATAATTAAGCATTATTGTTCATTCTGTTAGATATGATAATGCAGTGTGATTACTTAAGAAAATATCCGTTTTAAATTTTATTTTGTTTAAGATACACACTGAATTATTTAGGAATGAAATTACAGGACAAGTCAAAACTGATTAAAATATTTTAGCACAAAAGGAGATTATAGTTTTTTTAAAGTACAGCAAAAAGTTGATGAAACTGGGTGATGGGTACACATGGGGTCATTGTACTTTCCAATGTTAGTACATCTGGAAATTTGCAAAAAGAGTTTAAAAAGCATTTTTAAGCCAAAAAAAAAATGAACTAAAAAAACAGTTGACAATAAATGTAGGGTTTTGAGATTTGCAGAGCAGAAAGTTTAAATTAAGGTAGAATATACTTTTATTCAGAATCACTACAAGGAAATACAGTAGATTTTTTAAAAGTTAGACATTTATTACTGAAAGTTTCTGTCTTCTACAAAGATAATGTAATCTAGAATTCAGAAATACAATCTTGGTAGAATTACCCAGGCATGTAACTTGATTGATATTCTTTGACTAGAATTATGATGAACTTCCAATAAGTGACCTAATACTTTTCCAACAAAGAAATACCAACCAAAAATGTTGATCAAGTGCATTGGTTTTGGTTAACATGTATGGATAATCTTAAATTTTAAAAAGCCACAATGTTGACAATGCACTTGTTAAGCAGTACTATTTGTCTATCTAATGATGACGATTATAATTACTGTGATTATTTCAAACTGAACTATGAGGTCACCAAGGATTACTGGTCATGTTTTTAGTGTCTTAATGTGAACATCTTCATTTGAATAGTTTGCAGTAGCTTCAGATCTAAATATTTCAGCTATCATAAAAAACTGTGAGAGTTTGAAGCAGACAAAAAAGATTCCTGATATCTAGCGAACCCTTCTGAGTTATTTAACATGACCTTGAAACAAGTCAC